GGTTTATACTACTTTTATGTATAGGCCCGCATGTGATGTGTAAATATATGATCAGAGACAACGACTTTAGCATCGAAATATACCTGTATGGAACTTAAATGAACTTTTATGGAACATAAAAACATGTAAATGTACCTGTATGGATAATATTTCAACTATCTTGATCCAGCGAATCCTTGTATTTTTGAACTTGCCAGCTATTACACGGCCCTTTTATAGCTTCAATTAAAGCATTGGAATGTTTTATTAATAAGGCTCACTTGGGTCGCATTAATGAATCTTTCTCAACACTTCATGCGTTTTGACAGATTATAACATGAAGGTCAACTATTGGCATAATAATCCCTGCATAATGTTTTTTCATACGTGAGTGGTACTCGAAAAGCGTAATTAAGGTAATCAAGCCACCTCGAAGATGTCAGTTCGTTAGTTTTGATATTTTGCAGTCCATGCAGTTACTACAGACAGACCACTGGGTCTGATGCCCGGCCATTATACTCAAAATCAAATCAAGAAATTTCCCTTTCAATCTTCGGCAGAAATGCTTTTCTTTGGGCCTGTTTATTTAGGGCGAATTATCCCGGCTAGGCGAGGTGAAAACTGCATATAATGAAAGAGTAGTCAGGTTACACCTTTGATGTGATGCGGTTTTTACCTCGCCTAGCTGGGATAATTCGCTCCATGAAACAACGCCTTTGAGTCAATAAATGTTCCCTTCGGCTAGGTCAGCGAAACAGCCCGGTGAAACGGGTTAAACTTGGACATGTTTATAATGAGAGCATTTCAACCCGCTTGCCGTGATAGGGATTATTACGACGCCTTTAATTATAGCTGGCTTTGCGCTAAGAGTTCATATCACATTAGTTTCAACATACACTAAAGTACGTTGCCAACATTTGTTCGTTTTTAGCCATGAAGTGTTTAAAACTATATAAGAAACGCTGATAAACATAAAAAAATCCAAAAATTTTGGCCAGCCCGCTTATAGTGTTTATATCCTAACAATTTCATCTCGCCTCTTTTGAGTCAGCCCGCTTGCCCATATAAACCCACAAAAGTTTTTAGGAGTTTTATTCATGGCGAGATCTCGGGCCCTCCTGTACCTTATATTCTCTTTAAACCGAAAATATATGAGACAGTAATCTAGCAAAGCAGATTTGCGAGTGGTGTAAAATAAATAGTAAATGAAACTTTACTCTCACTGTCTTCTCGTGTGCATGCATGGGAATTAGTATATTTGGTAAATTTCGATAAATTATATGAGAATGTTCCCCTTAAGTTAGACAAAACAACACAAAATAACAAATTGCAAATTAAACTCTGTGTTATTCAACTGAATCGCAGGTTGTAATAAAAAATTCAACATGTTCAAAATAAAATGACATCGTTAGAAGTGCTATATTGATTTTGAATAATGGTATGTTGGCTAGCCCATCTAGATTATATTTAGCTACTCTTTTTTTGTCTTAGATTTAAACATTCCACAACAAAGGCTTGAATTTTCAGTTTGATTAAAATGTTAACATGCCCATGTTTGAACTGTTATAATTAATTTTGACCAACGAAATGTTAATTACCACTATGTTAATTACCAACCCAATAATACTCGCATGCATGCTAATGGCCAATCAACAAAATCTACAAAATGTACAAAATCCGTAAAATCGATATCGATCCTCTCAAAATATGTTTTACTTCGGATTGAGCCAATTGCGAATTCGTATGGAAAAGGAAACATAAAAAGCCTTCGGAATCTTTCGGTATCGATAATGTAAACCGGGTTTTATTTACAAATTAATTCTCCTTTATTAAACTAAATTATTATTGTTGCTAAGTGTATGGATCGCGTGAGACGAATATGTTGTATTTGTTAGTTCAACTGAGGAAAAATTTGAGTTCCGCTATTCTGTAAGCTTGTATTTGAATTTTGCATTTGGCGCTGTCAAAAATATTTGCATGATGCCTACGTCTAGCCAAGCGTTGTGGCATCTGATTGGCCAGAAACTGATCTCCTTAGTAACACCTGGCAACAATGGCTTTGGCGTTACTATAGGTATGCCGTATGGCATATAAAATATCAATTCCGACGATTCTTATTTCTTAAGTTTTTGCCAGATGTTCCCCCGGTTTTCTATCCCGCCTCCTCACGCTGGCTCGATAGCATATATAATGTTAAACGCAAAATTATTCGTCAAATTATACAACGCTACGCCTTGACACCCGCCGCACAGTTTGATACACAATGATGCATATTATGGTTTTATTCGAACAAGGAAAGTAAGCAAAAAACGGAAATTATTTGCCAAAAACATATTGGTCATGAAATTCCGTGAATAATACAGAAAATCACGCTCAATAACGCACCTCCATATGCCCGCACACTAAACGTTATTCGAAATTAGGTTGAAATCGCGTCGATAATATATTTCTGTGAGAAATTTTTAAAATTTGATATGCGCTTTATCTATTCAACGTCGAAACAACGTCATATTGACGTCGGATATCGACGTCGATTTAAGGTCGGCTAAATGACGTCAAACATATTAGGTTGATCAACGTCGCGACCACATTTCAACTATATTTCGACGTCGAAAGGACGTCGTGTGCTGCCTTGGAAAGACGCGCTGCTTTTCTTTCGCAGCGCTATGATATAACAAACGAATGTATAGTATAAATAGCCTTGTATAAATTATAAAATATTTTATTCGCTTTATGGGAAACCTGCCCCTCTTGACTCCGCAAGAAACGTGACGCTTATTATCTTATTCTCCTTGAGCAAAATAATGTCAAAATAACGTAATTAACCTTGAGCATATTCGGGAAGTGACATATGGCTGGCGTAGAAATATTTTGCCCAGATTGAAAGTCAAACTTTTGATAATACCTGAATAGCCTCAGTAATAGTAATAGTAATCGGATTATTGAATAATGATAAAAAATGACGGTGCATGCCTTTCGAAAATAAACAATCAGCATGATGATATTATTATTATTATTAACACACGAAACAAAGCAAAGCAAAGCAAAGCAAAGCAAAGCAAAGCAAAGCAAAGCAAAGCAAAGCAAAGCAAAGCAAAAGCAAAGCAAAGCAAAGCAAAGCAAAGCAAAGCAAGGCAAAGCAAAGCAAAGCAAAGCAAAGCAAAGCAAAGCAAAGCAAAGCAAAACAAAACAAAACAAAGCAAAGCAAAGCAAAGCAAAGCAGATTTCCAAAATTCCTTTGATTCTCTTCGCTGTTTCTATAACTTTCATGCATAACTATTTTCATCGAATCACGCGCATTTTCCGAATACGTATAGGAAACGACATCGACGACATAATACTAAGTTGCTTTACCATTATTAAAAATGATTTTTCCTCAGTTGAACTGGTTTCCGCTGTGCGTTTAGTTGGATTGTGCCATATAAGCACTCGTTGTAATAGGATGAACAACACTTAACCAACAATAATAATTTAGTTGTATGAAGGGAAATTAATTTGTACATAAAACCATTTTTACATTATATATAGCAAAAGAATCCGAAGGCTTTTATGTTTCGAATTTCCTTTTCCATATGAATTCTCAATTGGCTTAATTTGTTTTAAACCGTCTGTTGTGGATGGATGTGGAATTTGCGGATTTTGTTGATTGGCCATTAGCAATGCAAGCGCGTATTGTCTGGGTTGGTAAAAAATATAGTGACAGATTTTTCGTTGGTCGAAATTAATTAAAACAGCTCAGGCATGGGCATATTAACATTTTAAACTAACTGAAAATTAGAGCGTTATAAAATGAAACATTCATATATTTGTTTTGTAAACTATAGTTTCTTCCGCCGTCGCTGCTTACAGTACGGTGCATGTATAACCCCACAAGAGTATTATTATCAATATTATGAGCAAGTATACATTTTGCGTTGCTGCTCATGTTATGTACATATAATAGTGTATAATATAATTGTAATATAGGAATATAATTGCTGCGTGACAGCGTGGACAAGGAATGTTTAAATCTATGACAAAAGTAGATTAGCTAAATATCACCTAGAAGTGCTAGTTAACATTCCATTTGGCAAAATCAATGGCAATTAATTCTAACGATATCATGTATTTTTATCACAACAGTGTTGTGTATTAAATGGTTAATATTTTAGTTTAATTTGCTATTGGTTATTTTGTGTTGTGTGGTAAAGTGCGCGAACGTAGCTACAACAATATACGTGTATTATATATAACTACAAATGCCGTTGCCGTTTTCGATGCTGTATCAGATGACCAGGGATAAAGTATAAAATTGAAGGCATGTAAACGCCAATTGACACTGGCGATTATCATTTCGATTTTATGTGCGATTTCTTCTTTTGTGTGATGTGAACTAGTGATTAGTTACGAATTCTCAGATGTGTAATTGCTCCTATTTAAACATGCGTAACTAATTAACGCGTTCATATTATTCAAAGGAAGAAAATCGCACATAAACCACCGTGATAATGTGATATGAAGCGGGATGAAATGCTTTCATATAAACATATAGGCAAGTTCAACCTGTTTACAAGATTTCAAATAGTCTCCCCTTTCCAGTCCATGCAGATCTGCCAACCATCCAGAGGGATGAGGGAGCACTGGCCTGATGCCCCGCCATTTTTTCAAATCAAATCAAGATATGCCCTTTCGGAAACTCAGCAGATGTGCCCTTCTTTGGATCATTAAATGCGCCCTTCTCAGCGAAACAAGCCTTTCTTGACAGCATATCTTTATCTTGATTTGATTTCGAAACTGAATGGTGGGGCACCAGGCCCAGTGCTCCCTTATCCCTCTGGTTGGTTGGCAGATCTGGATAGAATCTATTGAAAGGGGAAACTAATTGTCTGCATGGACTGTAAAATATCAAAAGTTACGAGCTGACATACTTGAAGGGGCTTGATTACCTTATTTACGCTTTTCGATGGCCACCCCCTTATGAAGAAACATTATGCAGGGATTATCATGCCGAACGTTGACCTTCATGTTATAATCCACCCGTTTCACCTATTCTAAAACGCTATAGAGCGTATATTCTAAAATTTAGAACAGCGCTCGATAGCGTCACTGAGTTGCAACCTGAGCAACCCACAACGGGCATTTGCCCGCGAAGACAACATCAACATGGCGCCCAAGCGAACTCGAAGTGGTAGTGTGAATAAACCAAAACGTTTTAAACCCGTTAAACTGCGCGTGCTTTCAGTTTCCACAAGTGGAAGCAAACGTGCCGGTAGCATCTTTCTGAAAACATCATCAGACAATGTTTCAAGTGCTCATGGTGATGAGATATCTACCAGCAATTTGCCCTCGCTCTCGATGGATACCGATCATGATGATCATGGCGATGATCGTGATGATAATGGCGATATTCTTGGTGACCGTAGTACTTCTGACTTATCACAACATCAGTCAAGACGATTACGGCAATACAGACAATGGGAAGAAGTCAGGGAGAAGCTTGTTAAATCTCGCTACGAACGAAATGCTTTCACAGCCAACGATGTACAGTGCTGTGATTGCACAGCATTCGCCGAAACTCGTTGCCTCGACTGTGGTCACGATATTTATTATTGCAGAAACTGTGCAATTAACAGTCACAACACAAGGAATCACTTCCATGTTTTAGAAATATTTAAGGTACATGAATTTATTAATACGTTTGCAAATTGCAAGCTGAGTCAGAGTCTCCCAAAGTCTCCTTCTAGTTCCATTCAATTGCTTGCTTGCTTGCATGAATCAATATGCATTTCATTATTTTACTGTCTAACCATTGAAATTTTGATGTTGTCCACCAACATGGTAGCAGTAATGTCACTTCAATTTTTTAATGGCTGATCTGGATTTTGTGTGTTTTGTTAAATTGTGTCATTCCACACCACACACTGTTTTTGCTTTGGTGGAGTGGTTACCATTACCTAAAAATTTACAAAGCAAGTTAGTGGTGGGATGCCATGCTCAGATAAATTAACTTGTAGATAGAAAGTGTAATTACCTTGTTGGTAATTTTGTAGGTAGATAGCTTGCATAATAGCTTCTGCTAGGTATTCTGAACAGATGTGTATGATCACTGAGGTTTTAATAATAATTTGTATCTTTCAATCTGTAGGATGGCTGTTTTCTACCATTCTTTGTTGACCAGAAACCATTGAGCTTATGGCATCAAAGGAATTGTCCTACATCTTGTGCCAGAATTGTTGCATGCATTGATCAACACGGTAAGCCACCAAGTACCAAAATGGTAATATAACATGTCTATTGATATTTTAGTAAATAGTAAAATATCAACCCTAGGCCACTAAAGATATACATTAAGATGCCCAAAAGCATACTGTACAGTAGATCTACAGTTGGACCAGGTATAATAATGCCTTACATATTTGATTCACCAACAGAGAAACTCTGAGTGTCATAGATTTATGTACATAGAGTGTATGATATTGACAATGACATGGTACACTTTCAGCCAGCCTATTGACATATGGAAACTTGTGAAATAATTTGAATATGAAAGACCATGTGGGGAATGAAGGACAATACTTAAATTCAAACCATTTGGCATTTTTGCCAAGTTTGCATACATCAACAGCTAGTGAGCTGACCTACTTTATCAGTTACAGAATGATTCTCAAGTGAGCAATTCTGTATGTTAATTTTACCCAGGGCGACAGCATCAGAAGCAAATCCTTTTTTGTGAATGTGAAAGTGATGTCGTGACCCTATGGAAGATGCATTTATGGCCTAACTCTGCAAAACGCCCTATTGTAGCTTATCACATAAAGCTGATGGAGTTGGCAGAAGCACTTGTTTTGGAATGTCAAGTTTCTCTGCAAAAGTTCTGTGACATGTTGACTGTCCTCAATAAATCAACTCTTTTCCCAAAATGGGTAAATTTTGTTAATTTACTATAAATGTTCTTACTACTTACTATGGACTGTAAGATTACAATTGTCAATTTGTGTTTGATGTTCCTGTGACAACAGTGATGACAACTTATACAGTTGTCATTACTGTGATGATATACCACAATGACTAAACTTACCACTGCAGATAGGATACATGAAAGGGAAATTCATCTCATATTTTCTGTATTCAATACTGTAGGTGAAAAATGTTTACTCTGGTCTCAACAGCGATTCCTTTGATGAATTTAGGTACTGGTAACTGCATTTTGTGTACTGTTAGATTGGGTAATACCCTAATAGAATAATATAACTACAGAATGCATGTATATATTCCTTAAACATTTTCATACTAAGTCATACTGTCACTGTATTTGTGTAGATATCACCAGTATATGATGAGAGATGGTTCACCATATTGGCAAAAAACCCCAGAAATTTCTAGAAGTATCTGCCCTCTTTGTCCTAAGGTAAGTTTCGGTTTACATTATTACTGTGTTTCACCTAATATGTGCATGTGCAACTTCATCCTCAAATGCCCATTGTATACTATCATGGGCCTATTTTTTCTCTTGAACTGTACTTGCATGTACTATCTAAGCCATATTAATTTCCTTAATATGCATGTAGATGTTGTGATATCTTTTTTAGGATGGTAAATCAGGAAGCATTGTGGAGTGTATGGATGGCTGTTTTGGGCTTGTGCGGAAGAAATCTGCAGGCACTGATATTTACCCATCCAGACACAAAACAACCATGTTTGCTGATCAAAATGATGTTGACAATTTTGTTCAAAGTTACACAGCAAATGCCAAAGAATCAAATGTTGTGAGTACAAGGGTATACAGTCTATGCTATGATAATATAATTAATATATATACATATATATATATATATATATATATATATATATATATATATATATATATATATATATATATAATATATAAAAAGTTTGACAACAGGAGGAATTGTAACCACTTGTAGGTATAAAACATTTTTATTTACAGACAAACGTTTTCGCTTGTGAAAGCTCTTCAGGTCTGATGTATATACATAATATATATAATAATAATAATACGCAAGTAATAGTTATAAAGAACGATTCATTTGACAAGTTGAAGCTCATGTAAATAATAGAAGGATACTCTGTATATTTTGTAACATTTATTGCACGAACATTTTCGCTATATAAAGCTCTTCAGGTGCTATTACATCACTCTTATAAATTTCTATACTATACTGTAGGTCACTCCAAGCTTTTACACAATACATGGGGCATATAATATGCACAGATGTGTGTATTAATTATTGGACAGGTTAATTGTAAACTGTATAAACCTTATCAGGAATGCAATGAATTTAAAGCTGGAGAAGTAACTGACATGCTCAGGTCAAAAGGGAGAAACAAACTCTATGATGAAAAGGGTGTTTTTGGACGTGTTTGCAGACACGATTTCCCAAAAGGCTTCCTCAACATTAAACATGGAGAAAGGTATATGATTAAGTTGGTATTTGAGTAAGTTTGCACTGATAATGAATGGCTGTCAGAACAACACTTTACAAAAAACCAATAGTGTACTGCAGTATATTCATTTATTTTCTCCAACTTGTCTTCCCATATGTCATTTTCATATACTGATCGTGGTACAACACTTTAACCATGAATCACGCAGGACAAATGTCTTAAAAATAAAAAACTATTGTAAAAAAACTATTTTTATTCTTTATAGGATAGCTTATTCCGTGTACGAACTACAGCGTCTATTAGACAATTATGATGGGACAAGTGTTGATGTAAAGATTACATATGATATTGCATGTACATTGGAAGCCCATTTGAAGGTACTGTACTGTTAACAGTAAAAAATTGATTTCTCCAGCCACATCACTAGTTTAACACCAGGTATATGGTAATAGCTAATGCACGCTGTACTGTGTTGTAGAAAAATGAGAGGGAAGACATTCTTGACAAAGTTGATTTAGCCATACCAATTTTCCACTGCTATGGACACAAGTCATCTTGCCAGGTAATGTATAGACATTCCATTATTATGAACCATGTAATTACTTTGAGAAAAATAAAGCTTCTATGTCTGATATCCCCTGTAAAATACTGAATGGTTTTATTATGATAATGCTATGAATTCAGACTTCTAATTAGTTTGGTATACAATATTTATTCTTTCTGACAAACTCCATACCCATGCTAGATACAGTTCAGCCCAAGGCGACTACAAGGCTATGGTTTAACTGATGGTGAAGGAATCGAAAGGTTGTGGTCATATTTAAGAGGTTTCTCTTCAATGACCAAGGAAATGAGCCCCGGGCGACGTACAGATATGTTGACCGATGCTTTGCTGCATTATTCCTCACGCCAGCTTCGTACATGTGGTACTGCAGTATCTGCTGTTTATATATTACATTATGCTTATTATGTACAGTATACGTTATGCTTAAACTATTAACCTCTCTAATAGGATTTCAACTTGCGAACAAGCTAAAGAAATGTCCAGTACTTCTTCAAAACGCATTGTTGCAATTGGAAGAACTGTTCTCTGCGTTATCCGGTGTAGTAGCTAAAAATTTGATTTGTTTGGTACAAGGTGTATATACTGTACATATGACACATCCGCAAAAATAATTGTAACAATTAAGTTTCAATCGTAGTTCCATATGATGGAGAAGTAATTAAGAAGTGGATGAAAGATGAGGAAAATCTGATTTTAACGAGAGGTTTGTTGCTGATGACTTGTGTCTTACACGTACAGTACATTGTTGTTTCTAGTTTACTAACAATTCTTCTGTATGCTGTATTTCAATACCTATAGCCAAAACCAAATTCACTTTGACGTGGCAGCAGAAGTACGTTCAGAATCTAATTCATTTGAATCAGCTGAGGTGCGTTCCCTTTTCGATAAAGGAACTTGTACGTACGTACATGTTGTCATGATTGTACTTTATTATTACACAGGTTTTTCAACGTTTTCGTATGTTCTTTAATTACAGATTGAATGTTGCATCTATTGAGGAAGGCGCACATGACCAACTGGTTGAAGTGGTTAAAAAAACAAAAGAGTGAGAGAAATTAAGATTCATTCTAACCTACATAATTTCTTTTTTGATCCTTTTATTTTGCAATGACCTAACCATCTAGGGTCATGAAGACACTGAAAAGTATTGAGAAGTGTAACAAGCTGCCGAAGAGGTGGAAACCAGGTGAAGCACATTTTAATGCGGCAGCTCTTGGTTTGGAAAATCAAAGACGGGATACAATTGTGGAGCAGACGTATAATATGGCAGTGGAGAGGATGTTTCTTATTTCTCTTAAAAGAAAATATTCAGGTAAAGGCTAAAGCGGTCTACCAAGATAACCGTGTCTGGTGTGCTGTTACAGTTGCTACATGTGGTACCAGAAGCGGAAAGTACGACATGTACATGCATCGTATAGGACTTCTCTAAATTTAGTCCACTTCTGCTGAGGACTAAATTTATAGATAGTACAAGGTAGAAGTATTATACTGTAGCTTCCAAAACGAACCAATATTTGGCGAGAAATTCCAACTTGAATTTCGCTAGTGTTCCAGGAATAAATTGCAATGAAAATAAGAATTCAGCATTACTAACGATGTGAATTTCTTTCGTCTTTGCTTTATGAATTACTGTCAGTATAATAATGTATTTGAGAAGCGAAATACAAATTGCATGGTAACTTTAGCAGTTTGTCAATTAATACTCTATAACTATATTAATGCTTTTGGTTTTACTACCAGATGGTCAAGCAATAGCAACGAAATTATCGAAGCAAATAAACAGAAAAACAAATGCGATCAAGAGTACGGTCACCAAGTATAATGCCTCCTTAGCTGCTTTGCAGGAATTGGTTGATGGATTGCCCAAAGAGTTGAACTTTGACGAAGCTAAGGATCCTGAGTCTAGTCTTTACAGAACATATTGCGACGAGAGTACTGTTGAGAGTGTCCCTTTTTCTGTGAAAAGGTCTGCAATTGACCTACAAAATTTCTTAGATCGATGCAAAGAGGAGCAGCAACTCTTGTTGAAGGAAATGGAAATGCTATTTGACCATTATTTGAAAAGAAGAGATTGTCTGGAAGAGAGTTATCAACTTCACTCGCAGAACGACTGCAGACTTTCAAATGGGATTTGTACTGTGGTGAAAAGTGAAATTTGCGAGACAAACAATATTTTGCTTTCCTTAGGAACCACATTTCGTAATCATTTAGATGCACCTATTCTTGACACAATTTCTGGGATTACTGCTACAACATCTTCTCATCTGTCGACGTCCTTGTTCCAGGAGACTATTGAAGATGATGAAATCGCAGTTATAGAAGAGCAGGTTATAGAAGATCTTGTTGATTTGTTAGATGGTGAAGATGACGACGATACTGCAGCTCATTATCAAAGTGATTGTGATGGTGGTAATGTTTGATGAACATTCCACAACATGAACTAGAACAAACTGTAATAATAGTGGTATTCTATATGTAGCGATTTATGCCTAGAAAATGTACAAATGTGTTAGTTTACCTCAATCCAGCGACAATGAGTGGGTGGCACCCCATGATACCCCTGCCATTGAGCAGTTAATACGGAACTCCTTCCGGGGGACTGGAAGCCCTGGTTAAAAATATTCTGCTAAACGTTTCTGGCATGGTGTCGCAACGGTGTCGCTTATGCAATAGTGACATTATGTTCAGAAACCATTTGATTCGAGCTTTGAAATGTTCTAAAATTTAAAGAGGTCCTGCAACATTTATTGCCAGTATAGTAATCAGAATATATGTTGACAAGTGCGTTATGAGTAATCCATAAGCAACCCGCAACTTAATAATAAAAGTAAACTAGAAATAATCAAAGATTTGGCACGTGCGTTCGATTTTTTTATTACCAAAATTTAATGTCGAAAACGAACGCGAAAATGTGCGCAACAATAAAAAATTTCCAAATAAAACGGAATAACACGATGTCGTTCCCATAATAACTTGAGAAATTACAGTACACTACAGTAGTAAGAAATTCCAAAACTAGTGTAAATACAAAATTTCAGAGCATTTGAATAAAATTAAGATGAACTTTGAATTCAGGGTGGGTAGATTTTATGAATAAATAAGCCAAATATATTAACATAACATTTGTTTTCTTTGTTTAAAACAAAGGAATCAAAGGGCCGCCAATACAATGTTTGGCTTATTTTTTTCAGTAACTTACCAACCCTGTTTGAATTTTGGGGTTCGTGTCGCTCGTATCAGGTATAGACCTAATCACCTAAGAGGGCGAGCGTGAAAAGCACCCCAGATGAAAAGTGCGACTATCTTAACGAAACTTTGCACAACGTTTTGTATCACGGAAACTAGTGTAAATACAAAATTTCAGAGCATTTGAATAAAATTAAGATGAACTTTGAATTTTGGGGTTCGTGTCGCTCGTATCAGGTATAGACCTAATCACCTAAGAGGGCGAGCGTGAAAAGCACCCCAGATGAAAAGTGCGACTATCTTAACGAAACTTTGCACAACGTTTTGTATCACGGAAACTAGTGTAAATACAAAATTTCAGAGCATTTGAATAAAATTAAGATGAACTTTGAATTTTGGGGTTCGTGTCGCTCGTATCAGGTATAGACCTAATCACCTAAGAGGGCGAGCGTGAAAAGCACCCCAGATGAAAAGTGCGATTATCTAAATATCTAAATTAAGATGAACTTTGAATTTTGAAAGTGACCATCATTATTTAAAATTGTCTCTCTCTTTTGTTATTTCTTTCACTGTATCTTTTGTTCTTCCTTGTTTTCTTCCTTTAGTTCTTCTTTTCGTTCTTCCTTTCTTTCTTTCTTTCTTCTTGTCTCTTTCCTTGCTTGCTTGCTTCCTTGCTGGGGCACACACACACACACCACTATCGCAACGGCCCTGCTTATTCGTTCCTATGTTATTCATGGGGTGTTTATATGGAAGAAGGCCAGCCCTCACTGGAGAGCTGGCCCTTGAAGAAGAGATCCCTCCTCCTTAGCCAGCCCCCCTAACAGGGCCAAGCCATCTCATATAAACACGAGCTGAAAGCCAACCGCCAGCTGAAAGGCCAATCCTCTTAAGCGGGCCAGCCTTCCCCATATATTAACAGCCCCTCAGTCTTGTCAGATTTCCCATCACTCGAGTAAGCACATTACCGAATTCCCTATATCATTTTGACACATTTACCCACAACATTCTACAAATTTTCATCTATTTCCATTTAATTCTTTAATAATCACTAGTCACAGAAACCGTATTCTATGCAGCGCTTCGACACGTAGCAAGGACTCTTCTAACCATATCTTTGAAATCAGTCGGTTAGCAACGTTTAAAATTGCAAAAATGTGACATTGCTGATACCATTTTTTCTACACATGCTTGGACCCCCACCCAGCATACAGTGCAATGGGCGTGGTCTGAATAACAAAAAACCCCATGAAAAAACCCCATGAAAGATGGACCATTAAATGTTCGTTTTGCAACTATCTATCGATGAATAGACAGCGAGTAACGTAGCCAATGACAACGCAACATTTGCAACAGTATAGATATTATGACTCACGTACCTATGTAGGTGTGTAATTACAACTTGCAATAGTTCTAGGCAGAACAATTTAGGCCTGTTTCAAAACGGCGAGTTTTCATGTGCCGAATTCAATTCATATTGAGCTCGACCAAGTTGGCTTGGTGATTCAAACGTCGAAAATAACAAAGTAGTCGAGCTTAACATATAGACTCAAGTCGATTGTTTGGGTTGGATGGGTTAGGCACATGGTAAACTCGCCGTTTGAAACAGGTCTTACGAAGGTTTAAAAAATTACTTATCAAAGCCATGTTTTCTCAAACACTCCTTTACAGAGTAGTCAAAATCAGCGGACACCGCAATGAGCCTCAATTCATCCTCTGTATCAAGGTGTTTTCTAACTCTAAGAGACCCAAGTTCGCTAAGATTGTCGTTGATCAAATTCAATGCCACAATTGATGCTTCTTGGGGCTCAACCAGTAACTTGTAGTGTAGTTCCTGTTCGGTCTTGTCAAGCCAGTAACCGCTAATTGGATCTTCTGGTTGTAGATTCTCAATCTCATCGGCGGTTCCGGGATGGTAAAACAACCAGTATGCATCACTGGTGGTTGTATACACGGGTAATATATACCCTTGATGACCCCTGCCTGCCTCAAAATTACTTTCTAGTGCGGTGATTGCATCTTCATGGAAGTAATCCCGCAATTGTGTAGTGAGAATATTGAACTCACTAGCGGTGAGGTCGAATTCGCATACTTCCAAATCCTCCTCTAAGATTTGGTGTTGGTTCGATAGGCTGGCTGTAGCGGTTTCTTCGGTGACTAATTTTACCAAAATTTGCTTGTGTACTGCAAGTTCGGCGACAGTGACTTGTGATGGCACTTTGACAGCAGGATTTTGTAAACAAAAGGCGATGTCATCAGCCTTGTTCATGATTTTCTGGATTTGTTTTTGCCCATAAGTGCTCGGGTTTCTAAACTCAATTTCATCAGGTAATCCTGAAACGACGAAACCACCTTTGGAATACGGCACTTTCTGTATGGGCTTTCCACATGCTTCACCTACGAAAAAAAGTAAAGCATATATATATAAGTATATATATGGCACGAAGAAGATTAAAAGTGAAGGGTATCAATACATACTATATACTCATTTTGCACAAACGTTTTCGCTTTTTTATTTAAGCTCCTCAGGTGCTATGAGTTATTTACAATCATTTGTAAATAACTCATAGCACCTGAGCAGCTTAAATACACTACACATACGATAAACACTACACATACGCAGACCCTCCTTACGTTTGATGTAAATTATTTTGACCAAGTAAATAACCGTTCCAATAAAATACTTGGCATTATATATTTAAGAAATAGAAAACATTTTCCGTGTTTCTATACAGTTATAGAAACACGCGTGGGAGTTTGGGAGAACTCGAAATAACGTGGAAAAACTCGCCCTACGGGCTCGTTTTCCCACTGATTATTTCTCGTTCTCCCAAATAACGTGGAAAAACTCTCGAAATAACGTGGAAAAACTCGCCCTACGGGCTCGTTTTCCCACTGATTATTTCTCGTTCTCCCAAACTCCCACAAGTGTTTCTATAACTGTATAGAAACACAGGAAAAAATGTTTTCTATTTCTTTTATAATATAACTCAATAAAAAGATTTTGTACAAATATTATAATTCGATTCAATTACAAATTCTCATTACATTACTTCGCTTGACCAGTTCGGCGGGAAAATTCCCGTGTTTCTATACAGTTATAGAAACACGCTTCTCGACCAATCAGCACGCGCGTACTATAAATGTTATATTATAAATGTATATATAATTATGTAGAGGTTATCATATGAGGAGTGAGGTGATATCACTTTTATCGCATGAGGAACAATATCACAAAATGTCACGAGTGAGCGAAGCGAGGGAGGGACATTTATGACATTGTCCTGAATGCGATAAAAGTGATATCACCGAGATTAGAATGTTGTCACATTACAATGTTATCACATTGTTATTCACATTACAATGTTATCACATTGTTATTCACATTACAATGTTATCACATTGTTATTCACATTACAATGTTATCACATTGTAATACGACGAGCTACCACATCCGAAAATATGTTGTATGAAACACAGTAAACAATAATTACATGTACTGTACATCGTACGTATGAAACTTACTGTACTTCCGACGAAACAATTCACGAACATCGTGCATGGTGTATTTGACACATTGTGGAGAATCTATGTAAGAAAAAACATATTCCATATATATTTCTGTATTTCTGTATTTCTGTATTTCTGTATTTCTGTATTTCTATATTTTCTATATTTCCATATTTCCATATTTCCATATATATATATATATATATATACCTGGAGATAAGATCAAATTATCAAACTGTACATACCAGGCAACTTGGTTGTGTTGTTACAGGTGGAAGTCATGATTTATACGATTGTGTATTATCTTATTGGCTGTACACATTTACTTCTAAAAGTTTGTGCCACTACTTACTCATGTATTCCATAAACTTCAATGCAACATTTTGGTTTTCTTCTAAGAAATGTAGGCCTTCATTTGTCCCATACTGCTGAAGCAAGGGGGATTCCCCTGGCTCCAGAAGCAACACAGATGCTGTGCACCCCAGGCTTTCTAAATATGCAAGCTAAAAGAAGTAGACATATCATGGTTTAGTTACTAGTCCTGTCAGGACAAAAAGCGGCTAAAGGAAGGTAGACACAATTCATTAAAATAGTCACTGTACTTGCATCTAATATGCATACTGCAATGGGTCTTCTTATAATTCCTTCATATTGAAACAATGCAGAGTATATTGTGTATTATTTGCTGATAACAATCAACAGTCAAATGCAATGTGACAAGGAAGGGAGGAAGGAAGGAAGGAAGGAAGGAAGGAAGGAAGGAAGGATGGAAGGAAGGAAGGAAGGAAGGAAGGAAGGAAGGAAGGAAGGAAGGAAGGAAGGAAAGGAAGGAAGGAAGAAAGGAAGGAGGAGGAAGGAAGGAAGGAGGAAGGAAGGAAGGAAGGAAGGAAGGAAGGAAGGAAGGAAGGAAGGAAGGAAGGAAGGAAGGAAGGAAGGAAGGAAGGAAGGAAGGAAGGAAGGAAGGAAGGAAGGAAGGAAGGAGGGAAGGAAGGAAGGAAGCAAGCAAACAAGCAAGGAAAG